AAAGTATTATTTAGTTCATCAAGCATGCAAATCTGTATGCAACAACCACTGTGCCAGTATTTTAGGTTTAGTGGAGGAACTTTTCCATTATTTTCCACAAATGTTTTTCTGATTATGGGGTTTATTTTTCTAAAATTTTTTTCATAATTTATTTCATAAATTTGAAATCATGACTTTGTAAATATAAAAATGATGGTCTCATCTGACTGGCAGAAGTGTTCAAGGTCAGTTTTAGCCCCTGATGGCTATGATGTGGGCTATATACACTCATGCACTACTGGAATGTGTGTACATTGGTATAAATTCCAACTTGACATTACTAGTATTTTTTCAAAACCATTTTATTGGGAGTTGATACAGGTACCATATCACTCCATAGGTCAATCACATCAAGCAGTATTGTAAAATTGCTGTCACATCAGTCTCAAAACCTTCTTTTCCTGGAAGTACTTGACATTAGCTCCCTCTTATCACGCTCCCACCCACCCCCACCCCCACTGTATCCCTCCGAAACCCTTATTTTACTTGTCCATATAGATTCATCAATCCTGGGTTTCATATGAGGCATTGAAAATACCAAGGCTTGGGTCAGGCACACCTTAGTCCTTAAAATAATATTCTTGCTTTTCAATACTCTCGTTGTGTGCAGCAGATTTACCTGATGCAATATGTCTTTTTGATCTCTTGACTGCTGCTTCCATGAGCATTGATTTTAGATCCAAGCAAGACAAAATCCTTGACAACTTCAATCTTTTCTCCGTTTATATCACGATGTTACCTACTGGTCCAGTTGTGAGGATTCTGATCTTCCTTACTTTGAGTTGTAATCTACCCTGAAAGCTACAATCCTTGATCTCATCAAGTGCTTCACGTTCTCACTTTTAGCAAGCAAGGTCATGTCATCTGCATATTACAAGTTGTTCATAAGCCTCCCACCGACCCTGATGTCACATTCTTCTTCATCTAATCTGGCATTTCTGATTATTTTCTCAGCATATAGATTCAATAAATACAGTGAGAGACTACAGCCCTGTGTTAGTCCGGGTTGACTAGAGAAACAAATCCAGAGACACTTGTGTGTACGAGAGAACTTTCTATATCAAATGACAATAGTATATTAAAACATTGCAGCCCAGTCCAGATCATGTCCATAAGTCCGATATTAGCCTATCTGCCCAATACCAGTCTGCAAATTCTTCTTCAGACTCATGAAGCACGTGCAGTGATGCCGAATGCAGGAAGACCACAGGCCAGTGGGTGGAAAGTCTTGTGGATCCAGTGGTGGTGAAAGCACCTCAGCGCTGGTGTGGGTCTCCACGTGGCTCCTCTAGCTCCAGGGCTCTGGCTGCCATCAGCATAGCTCCATGTGGGGAGAGGAGTGTGTATGGCCTCTAGTGAGCTAATTTATCTCCATTGCACCTCCACATGAGGTCATTAAGCTGCCACCTGATTGACAGGCTAGACTCCATTCCCTATAACCTATTTAACAAGTTGACATGAAATTATGTAACTACCGCAAGACCTGATGTATACACTTTTCCTGATTTAAAAAAAATCTTTTTATTGGGGGCTCATACACTCATAATCCATACCTCCATCCATTGTGTCTAGCACATTTGTACATTTGTTGCCATCGTCATTTTCAAAACATTTTCTTTTTACTTGAGCCCTTGATATCAGCTCCTCATTTTCCCCCTCCCTCCCTCACACTCCCTCCCTTATGATCCTTGATAATTTATAAATTATTATTTTTTTCATGTCTTAACACTGTCCAATGTCTCCGTTCACCCACTTTTCTGTTGCTCCTCCTACTGGGAGGGGGTTATATGTAGATCATTGTGATCTGTTTCTTTTTCTGCCCCCACCTTCCCCTCCCCTCCTGGTATTGCTTTCATTATTGGTCCTGAGGGGTTTATCTGTCCTGGATTCCCTGTGTTGGGAACTCTTATCTGTACCCGTGTAAATGCTCTGGTCTATCAGATTGTTAAGGTAGAATTGGGGTCATGATGGGGGCAGGGAAGAGCACTAAAGAATTAGAGGAAAGTCATATGTTTCATTGGTGTTATACTGCGCCCTGACTGGTTCGTCTCTTCCTTGTGACCCTTCTGTAAGGGGATGTCCAATTGTCTACAGATGGGCTTTGGGTCTCCACTCCACCCTGTCCCTTGTTTGCTTCGATATGAATTTTTGTTCTGGGTCTTTGATGCCTGATACCATCGACACCTCATCATCACACAGGCTGATGTGCTTCTTCCATTTGGGCTTTGTTGCTTCTCAGCTAGATGGCCCCTTGTTTATCTTCAAGCCCTTAAGACCCCAGACACTATCTTTTGATAGCCAGGCACCATCAACTTTCTTCTCTTCACCACATTTGCTTATGTACCCATTATGTCTTCAGGGATCGAGAAGGTGAGCATCATGGAATGCCAGGTTATTGGAACAAAGTGTTCTTGGGTTGAGGCCCAAAGTCTGTCTGCTACCTTAATACTTAACATATAAGTATATGTACATAGATCGATTTCCCTATCATATATATTTTTTACATATGTAAATACCTGTATTTAGACCTATATAAATGTCTTTTGTCTCATAGTTCTTTCCTCTATTTCCTTTTGCTTTCCTCTGTCTCACTATCATGTTCAGCCTTCATTCCATTTTCAGTAATTCCTTTTGGCTACCTTGCCCTTGATCAAGCCCTACCAAGCATCCTATACTCTCCTTACCATCAATTTTAGATCACTTGTTGTTCCTTTGTCCTTGGGTTTGTTGACACCCCCTTTCCTTTCTCTCGCCTCCCCCTTTCCCAAGTCCCCCTGGAATCATTTGTCCCATTGCTTTCTCCTCCGGATTGTTTATCCCACCTATCTTATCTAGACAAGAAGAGACAATTAGAAGCATGAAAACGAGACAGAGCAAAACGGCAACAAAGAAAACAAAAAATCTAAACAACAACAACGACAAACAACGACAAAAAGAGAAACGTCTATAAATAGTTGCAGGTCTGTTTGTTGACCTTTTGGAGAGTTTTCCAGTTGAGTGATGGGGTGCCATGCCCTGGCCCCACAATCTCGTCAGATGCACCCCTCTCCCTGAGCTGTAGCTTCAGTGCTGTCCTATGAAGTGAGTTCTTCTGGGGGGAACTCTTCTTGATTAAAAAAAAATCATTTTATTGGGGGCTCATACAACTCAATCCATACATCAATTGAATCTGGCATGTTTATACATATGTTGCCCTCATTCTCTTCTAGACATTTATTTTTGTTTTTTAAATTTAATCATTTTATTTGGAGCTTGTACAACTCTTATCACAATCCATCCATCCATTGTGTCAAGCACATTTGTACATTTGTTACCATCATCATTCTCAAAACATTTTCATCACCAAGTGCTTCAGCTCTTTTTTTTTTAATCTTATTAGGGGCTCATATGACTCTTATCACAATCCATAGCTTCAGCTCTAACTATTATTTCTCCCATTTCCTTTAGCCACTCTACGATCAAGAGCAAGTTTTACAATCTCTTCTGACATCCACTTCAATATTGCATTTCTTATTTTTTTAATGATCTTTTGCCTTCTTAATACTTGATGGATGGCATCCCACATCTTGCAAATCTTCTGTCATTAGTATTCAGTGCATCAAGCCTGTTCTCGCTATTATCGAAATTCAGGTTGAATACACTTAAGGTCACATGTTGGCTCTTGTGAAATTGCTTTAATTTTCTTCAACTTCAGCTTGTATTGATATATGAACAGCTGATAGTCTGTTCCACAGTCAGTTCCTGACTGATATTGATCCTCCCAAGGCTGTAGTCAATTTGATTTCTGTGTTTCTCCATTTGGAGAAGTCCATGTTTATCATTCTACCACCTAGTTCATGTTTCCCTTCATTTCCAACTCTTGCATTCCAATGGACAATAATTGAATGCGTCTTGACTGCATGTTCGATCAACTTCACACTGAAGAAGTTGGTAGGAGTTCATCATTAGCTGTCATGGTTGGTGCACAACTGTCAATAATGTGGTAATTGAACTTCCTTGTATGTGTATAAAATTATCCTATCACAGGACAGCATTGGGATGTGTCAGAGGAAATTGAAAAATCAATTAAAAAATCATTATTTAAAATGGTTTTTAGGGACAGCTTTTTCCTTTTAAATAGTACACTCTGTTCTAGAACCATAGCATTCTAAATAAGAAATAGTGTTCTAACTCAACAGGGTAAAATGTATAAAATCATAGAGATAAAGTAAATATGTATATCCCTATACATTGGCCCTGAACAGTGAACCATGGCAGCAATCTACTCTGAGGGGAATGACACTTCTACCTCTGTCCAGCTGTTTTACCTTATCAGCTGTTTTTCTTAAAATAAACCCTGTAGGGTATGATATATCATATATATATATATGATATATATACACCATTTCACTGTTTTGTGTGTGGCCCTGCTATATGAGAGGTTCATCAACCATAATTTTATATTTTTAGATCTTAGCTTTACACCTGAAATAGGCATGCATTTGAGTCAGGACCAATTTCAAATTATTTTGTTATTGGGAGAAGAATAGTATGTATATAAATGGGAACATATGTAGCTACTAAAAGTTATAAAAGGCATTCCTTAGGTATTGAAAGAATTCCAAGGTAAATTTTATTAACCCTTTTTAAGTCCATAGTTCCAAAGTAATGATCAGAATAATAGTTCTCCTTATTAAATTCGGTTAAGGAGCCCTGGTG